TCTGTGCTTCTTCGGAAGTACAGATAATCCAGATACTTAACTAGCTTGGATAGAGGTGTGCGAGTCAAGTCTTAGGATGCTCTGATACGTAGCACGGGACTTGGGCGTTTTCTTTTGATTTAGTTGAACTTTTTTTACTTTCTTGTGTCGTATCATGTATTGGTGAATTTTATTAATGAATACTTTCATGTATTGGCGGATGGCCGAGGTTGATGAACTAACGAATATTTTCCGCTGCTTTGTTTTGAAAACCTTCTAATGAAGAGTATGTCGAGTTATGTGATGTGATATCCCACTTTAGTGGAGAACTCTGATGTTTATTTGAATTAATCGTATTTTATTTTAATTTTGGGAAGTGGGGTGTTACATTCAGAGCCCTAGCCACCATGCCAGCAATGATGTTGTGCGTTTCCTTGGTTTCATCATTATTTACATCAGTAGTTGCAGGAGTAGAAGTTTTACCTGAGACAATGTCTTTTGATCTTCCTGCATGTTGGCTCCTTGGATTTTTTACCAGAACCCCTTCTGGGGTCATCATGCGCAGGGGTGTTATTTCAAGCACTGAGTTAGGGTTGCTTGACTCAGTTCCTATCTCAGACTCGTTGGCAGGTATGTTCTTGGAGGGAGAGGATTTTGGTGAATGTTGAGACATTGTACAGGACGTTGATTGTGTGAACAGGGGTTTCCGTTTATTGGAGGCTGTAGGGAAGATGAACAGTTTGATAGTGAACCAAGTGGTGAGGGAGTTTGATATAAAGAGGCTCACTAGGTGATATGGAAAATGAGGAGGGAACTTAATGTTTTGACCAATCAGTAAATGATTGAATTTCAAATTATAATTCCCTATTCTCATTAATTTCTATAACTCACCATTACTTAAAGGCCTCAATTTTTGCAAATCACTTTTATGGGCGTTGACCTTTCATGCACCAATTTCAGTCCTGTTTATTGCATCCTCGTCAGGTATTGCGCCACTCCCTTTCCATTTACACGAGGGACCCCTGAGCATGCCTCCTTTGAACTTACCAGGACTTGTTTGAATGGTGCACTGGATGTCACAGAACAAGGTCATGACATCAGTTGTGACATGGCTTCTTTTAGGCAAGGTAGCATCCATGGACTCCATTAGGTTCTAATATAGCCTATCTAGCTTTCCCTGATGACTAATGTATGGGTATCCATTCTTGGCTTGCTTCCCTCCATGAGGTTTCTTGCATCCTGTCCTTCTTTTTGAGGAATACTTTGAGGATTTTCTTGCTGGTGTGTTGGATCTTCTCTGTTGTCTGTCCTTTACCAGCAATACTTTTTCCCTAGTTTCCTTTTTCTCCAGGTTATTGAGGATACTTCTGGGCTCCCATAGGTAGCAATTGTTCATTGCTCTGGATCCCCTCATTTCTACCTCACCTTCTTCATTGACCACTGCACACTTATCCTTTGAAAACTGGACTTTTAAGCCTTGATCACATAGCTGACTTATGCTTATTAGATTAATTGTCAGTCCTTTAACCAGCAGGACATCCTTCAATCTTGGGGCTTTAAGACTGTCAAGTTGTCCAATACCTGTGATTTTTCCTCTAGCTCCATCATCAAAGGTTACATGACTGGATGTATGAGGGTTGAGCTTTGTTAAGAGATCCTCAATTCCAGTCATATGTCTGGAACATCCACTGTCAAAGTACCAGTCCTCTTGGGTTGGCATCCTTAGATCAGTGTGAGCTGCTAAGGCCACATTCTTGGTAACCCAATGTCTTTGCCTGTTAGGAGCAGCCTTCTTTAATCTTGCTTGATGAGCTCTCTGTTTTTGATGAGGATGACTAGGAAATCCATGCAGCCAGAAACACACAGATTTGATATGACCAAGTTCCACAGTGGTAACACCTGTACCCTTGGAATCTACTCTTGACTAGATTCCAGTTTCTGTTGGTTGGATGTTGTGACATTGGTCGTGACATCATCTTTGGCTTCTGGACCTTAGGTTGTAATCTCTTGAGATTTAGCACAGAATTTTGTTTATCAGCATATCCTAGTCCAGATCTATCTCCTGAGGTTTGTCCACTCTAGAGAATTTCCTCTAGATTGTCAGTCCCAGAATTTAGCATCCTTATAGATTTTGTCATTTGATCCTTCTTACTTTTCAACTCTTGTACTTCACTTCTGAGTGTGTCAATTGTGGCTAGATGCTCCCTCTTTTCAGCTTCTAACTCCTTGATGATTTTCTTCTGTTGCTCGCCTTGCTGAACCAGTTATGTGCTTCTTATGTGAAGCTTTTTGTATGAGGCTGCAAGCTCCTCAAAAGACAACTCTTCATCACTTGAATCATCATCAGAGATGCACACACTATTCAGAGCAGTGACATGTTTAGTTGATTCCTCTTCTGATCCACTGTCTGAATCTTCATCAGACCAGGTGACAGTTAAGCCCTTTCCTTTCTTTTTGAGGTATGTGGGACATTCCTTTTTGATATGTCCATATCCTTCACATTCATGGCATTGTACTTTACTGAATTTCTCCTCAAATTTCTCTTTGTCAACAGGCAAGCTTTTGGAGTAAGGTTTAGATTTAGCATCTATCCTTTTGACCAGTCTTTTGAACTGTCTTCCAAGCATGGCTATTGCCTCTGATAGATTCTCCTATTTTTCATCATCTGAATCCTCAGCAGTGTTCGAGGCAAGAGCTATACTTTTGCTCTTTTTCTCCACAGCCTGATCACACATCCCCATCTCAAAGGTTTGAAGGGAACCAATGAGTTTATCCACCTTCATGTGGCATATGTCTTGAGCTTCTTCAATGGTTGTTACCTTCATGGCAAACCTTTTAGGTAATGACCTTAGAATCTTCCTTACAAGCTTTTCTTCAGCCATCTTTTCTCCCAAAGCTCCTGAAGTGTTTGCAAGTTCAAGAACATTCATGCTAAACTCATGAATGGTCTCATCTTCCTTCATTCTTAGACCTTCAAATTTGGTGGTCAGCATTTGAAGTCTTGACATTTTGACCTTGGAGGTTCCTTCATGAGTAGTTCTGAGAGTATCCCAGACATCCTTTGCTAGTTCACAGTGGTGTATCAGCCTGAAGATGTTTTTATCTATGCCATTGAATAAAGCATTCAATGCTTTAGAGTTTCCAAGAGCCAATGCCTCTTGCTCTTTGGTCTATTCCTCTTCAGGAATTTGCACAGATACTTCATCTTTGTCAGTCTTCATAGGATGTTTCCAGCCTGAATTCACAGCTCTCCAAGCCTTGTTGTCTATAGATTTCAAGAATGCAATCATCCTTGATTTTCAATAATCATAATTCGATCCATCCAGAATTGGAGGTCTATTAGTGAAGCCTATATCTTAATCCATTGTACCAGAATTTGTTTTCCCTAGATCTCACCCAGAATAAACAGGCAGGGTGCCTGCTCTAATGCCAATTGAAAATTCTGGCAAGCACACGATGATGTTATTCCCAAAGTTATAACATCCACTATGACATCTGCTACTTAACAGCTAATACTCAGCAATAATAAAGGCAGTAAATAACACAGCAACTGTTTACCCAGTTCAGTGTCAACAACACTTACATCTGGGGACTACCAAGCCAGGGAGAAAATTCACTATTAGTAGAATCAATTCAGAGTTAAACCTCCAGTTTACACTCCTCACTTAATCTCTACCCAATGACACTTCAACCTAGAGACACTCTAGACCTGAGTATACCCACTCACTCCCCCTCAATCACACAACAGTGATTTTAAACAATTACAGAATTCAATATGAAGAGACACTTCATACACACCTTGATCTTGCTTCACAACTTTGATCGAGGAACACACACACTCTTGCTTCAAAGCTTCAAGTGAGACACAACCTAGAATCTACCTATCCAATGCAAATCATCCACCAGACAATTGCTTGGATTACAAGTATTCCTAGACAGAATTCACACGTGAAGACTAGCCTTCTTCACTAACACAGGACTCTGCAATCTACACTCTTTTTCCTTCTGTTTTCAAGTGCTGCTCTTCAGATTTGCATCTTCTGATCTTTATAGCAGTTGTCAGTCCTTTTGGGCCTTGGTGCATTAATTAGGTTTTATCCATATCAAAACCTATTCTCAAAGAGTTGCACACTTGCCACTCAATTCAGGGATCTTCTAGTTCGCCTAGGGCTTCTAGAAATTCTCCTGATATCCAACTTGAGCATTTATTATGTTTCCTAGTTCATAGATACCAGAAAAAACAACCTTGCCCGATGGATGTCATATGTTCAATGTTATGACATTCTGTATGACATTCAGTTTAACTAAGTTAACTTATAGTTAACTTACCCTGCACACACATCATTAAGTATGTCCTAACAATCAGTATGACATACATGCACACTCTAAAATTTTGCCATAAAATGTAGTCAATCAAGAGCACTTACAATTTGTTCGATAAAAATAATGACCAACATTTTTTATTCCCTTCAACTAAAATATAATTATTTTAATTTAAATAATAATAGTATAAAGAATAAAAATAAATTTTTGATAAAATAATGAGGATATAAATGAAAGAAAAAGTCATAAACTAAAAGCTATAAACTCAAAAGCTACTTCAAATATTTTTTATAAAAAAAAATTAAAAACTAATAAAAAAAACAAATTAAAAATTAAGAAAACAGTTACCAAATAGATATTTTTTTATTAATATAAACTGAAAAATTAAAAACTTTTTTTATGTCTTATCAAAGATACTAGAAATATCACATTCTCTTATTAAAGAAAAGCACCTATACAAAGAAAAAAGAGACGCATTGATTTGAAACTATATGTAGTGCTCTTTACGTCACCAATATTATCAAATTATTAATCAAAGTAGCCAATGGCAATAACAAAGTTGATAATATCACATCCCAAATTGGCATTATTATTATTATCTAAAAGTGATACAAACGAAACTCTCTATTTCGATACCACACTCTACTTCAAACCAAACTGTTTCTTAACCTCACTGAAACTTAACTCTTGAAAGAAAAATGACAAGAAAATATTGTTTCAAAGATTTGGTTCCTTTTGGTGCTATGGTAACCATGGAATGCATCAACGTTGCTTTGAATACTCTCTTCAAAGCTGCTACCTTAAAAGGAATGAGTTACCATGTTTTTGTTGTTTATGCTTATGCTGTTGCTGCTTTTGTTCTTCTTCCTGCACCTTTTATCTCCAAAAGGTGAAAATTTATATAAATATTCATCATGATTAACCTTTTATTTTACATCTTCTCAACAACTCTGTCTATTTTCTTTGCAGATCAAGAGCTCTTCCTCCTTTGAGTAAACCTATATTATACAAAATCGGTCTTCTTGGGTTGATAGGGTACATACAAATTTATTAAACATGCAATTAATTAATTTTTATGAATTTTAATTTTATTTTTTATTGATCCGTGAAAATTGCAGAAGTTCATCTCAGATAATGGGTTATACAGGTATTAGTTTGAGTTCTCCCACTCTCTCATCAGCTATTAGCAACTTGGTGCCAGCTTTTACCTTCTTGCTTGCCATCATTTTCAGGTTCTACTACTTTTATTATTTTAATTTTTAAGTAATCTTTATGTGCAAGCATGTTTTGGAGTTTAGGGTAAACAACAAGAAAATTAAAATATACTAATAATTCATTACTAGGTTTTCAACTTTGAAAAAGTTGGCTTTGATAATATTTTATATGGAAGTTTAAGTTTGAAATCGTGTCACTATATTTTTTTAATGTGTTTATGTATGTATGTGTTTATATTAATAATAAAAAATACTATTAATTAAATTTATATTTTTGTCCACAGAATTGAGAAGATTGGTCAAATAGTCCTTAGATTTGTGATTTAACAAAAACATTTAAATATAGTGACCTTGCGTGTGTTCGCCACATTAAAATCAGTCTTTATTTTGTCAATACCCTCAAAGATGAATAAGTTGAGAAGAACATTAAAAGCAAAAACAAAAAATTTAGGAGCTTTATTTATATTAAATAATTTTAACAAATTATAAAAATATTTTATCATAATAATTATTAAAAAATATACATTATTGTCTTAAAATAATCTATCATGTACATCTAATTCACTTGCATATTATTGTAAAGATTTTTTTAGAATAGGACATTGACATTTGACGTGTTAATGAGAAAAACCAAGAATAGACTATGACAATTCAATGAGTTGGCCACAAGATGCGTCTACTTCACGTTCCTATCTCAAAAATTCACATTTATGCCCTTAATTATAGGGTTAGTTTGGAATCAAATATGTGCTGATATTTCCCAAACTCTCTTATTGTGTACTAATTCATTTTTCTCTTGGTTTAATTTATTTAAGGATGGAAAAAGTAGCCATAAAAAATTCAAGTAGTCAAGCCAAAGTGTTGGGAACCATAGTGTCTATATCAGGAGCATTTATAGTTACACTTTACATAGGACCACCAATCATCATTGCACATAGACATTCACTTTCACTTCATCAAACTGTTAAATCTTCAGATCAAAGTTGGGCTATTGGGGGCCTTCTGCTTACAGCTGAGTATATATTGGTTCCCATGTGGTACATTGTACAGGTACAAATATTCTTAGTTGCTATAAGAGTTTGAAGCTTCTAACTAACAATTACAGTAGTTTTTTTTGTTACATACTTATCATAATTAGGTGGGCAAACAAGCGTGTTTGCTCCATTTAAGCCCGTCTGCCAAAAATTGCAGACAAAACGGGTGCAGGTCTAAAGCCTTGGCCGCCCAAAAACTGTGGGCAAACCGGACACGTTTTACCACCCCTAATAATGATGGCATATCTTATTCATGATCAAAATTAATTCTCAAATTTTCTTTTAAACCTACAGGTTCAAATTATGAAGGTGTACCCAGATGAACTCACAGTGATCTTCTATTACAACTTAAGTGTGAGCATTATTGCTGCTATTGTAGGAGTGATAAGTGAGCCAAATTCAAGTGCTTGGAAAATAGGACTCGATACATCACTTGCTTCCGTCCTTTGCTCGGTAGGGTTAGGAATAAGATGCCATGAAGAAAAAATACAGAACTTTAATCTATATTGTATATAGTATGACTAACTATGACTTATATAAATCATATGTTTAGGGATTTTTTGGATCATTCTTGAACAATACAGTTCACGCATATGTACTGCGTATAAAGGGAGCTGTATATGTTGCAATGTTCAAACCACTCTCAATTGTCATAGCTGTTGCCATGGGAGTAGTGTTCCTTGGTGATACTCTCCATCTTGGAAGGTACTAACGTTTATGATAATGTTCAATTCAATTCTCAATAACAAATCAAGACTTGTAGAAATAAGCTAAAACTCACTTATTCATTTGTCATAAGTTCTATCAAATAGTTTCATGACTACTTAAGTTAGCAGATAAGTCTAAATAAATCAATTCAAGCCGGCCTTTAACTAAGTGATTGGGCTTAAGACGTTAATGAACTTTAACTAAGATTCAATCGTTCAAAACTTCAAATAGTACTTGAGTTCAATCCTTAGTGAAACAATTCATAATAATATTTTACGTAACCAAACTATGGATTTGTCCCATATTGAATCAAGGGTTAAGACAACAACAAAAATAGCTAGCTATATTCATGGTATCCCATTAAGAGATCCAAACACTTACTCATTCAGTTCATCTATCAATTAGTACATACATTGTTGTGGAAGAAAGACAGTTCAAAGTTTAGTTTGTTGCATTTTTAACTTGTTTTAAAATTCTTCTATGCTTTTTGCAGTTTAGTTGGAGCCACAGTAATATCGATTGGGTTTTATACTGTAATGTGGGGTAAAGCAACGGAAGAAGAGGTGGTTGAAGATGTCCCTAGCCACGAAACACCAACTACACAGAATGTTCCTCTCTTGCAAAGCTATGAAGCTGATAGAGTTGAAAAGAAAATGGATGCAAGTGTATAAAAGAAACACAACTCTAAACAAATGTTTGTAGCAGCAGAGTATCTAAATGTCTAGGGGGGCATCATATTTAAGATTATCAAAAAAACAATTCAACTGAAGGTAGCAACCTCTGCAAGTTAGGGGGTACCAATATGTACAAAAGTGACTATGAAGATTGAAGACAAGGGAGCAACAAAACAATATTGTCTATGGTACAAAAAAGCATTTGGGAAGATTCTATAAATAGAACAACTCTATGCAGAAGGACAACAAAATTCATTTGTTTCTAATCCAAAACTCTGTCAAAATGAAAACTCTAAATCATTTCCTCCCTTCTCTTGTGCATAAATTGAAGTAAGAGAACGATTGTTGTTTTATAAACAATCATTTCATAATATGCTTTATATTGGATGTAAAATTCATATCAAAGAACTTCAAAGTAACATTACTGAAATTAAAGGGTACACTATTGTATTTTAGTTAAGAGCTAAGCTAGTGGAGACGAATACAACCACCTTCAAACAAAAAACTTGTGAATTTAAGAAGAGACTCTGTCAAGGACGAGCCTGCTTCTGCTTCACCAGAGGTCGAAGGAAATGTTCTACCGCGTCTAAGACTGTGTCAACAGTATCCCAGACCTGGGACTATAACAGTGGTCTATGGTTAGCCGCTACCTAATTAATTAGTCTATGGAGCTTAGTCAATCAACTACTGCAGAATTGCACATAATTTGTTTACTAACAAATCTAACTACAAACATTGTCTAAATCATATAAGGTAATCCAATACACACTTATAAGCACATTTAATACACATATACAACAAGTAGAGTGTTACACTTTCATTCTTGTATTCTTCATTTGCAAGTTTGTTTAATTTTGCACCATACCCCTTTCCATCTTTATCTTCTACGTTCCATGTCTCTTATTCTTTCTACTGTCTTAAATTTTTGTAATTACCTTCATATTTTTGTTGCTTAAAATTCATGAGCAAGAGGTTTGTTGACAACTCAAGAATTATTTCATTGAATCCTAATCAATTGAAGTTTCAAGTCCCTATAAGTCCCGACAAAATATCTCACTCAAAGAAGTCTATATAACACTTACTGGATTAATTCATTCAAACTCAGCTCAACCTAGATATGATCAAGGCATTAGAAGAGAAAGAAGAAATTAAGATAAAAGCCAAGAACCTAAACCTTGCTTGGGTAGTGTTCTCCACCTTGCTTGATGACAAGAACAAAGGTTGAGGACTTGGACTTGCCTAAGGGCGCCACAAACCTTAGGAAAATTGAAGCACCTTGTTGAATATTAGCACAAAATCAAAACAGATTCTGTCATACAGCTCATTATGGCTGGATTCAAATTGTGATTAAATAGAAATTAATTGTATTATTATATTCTTACCTTATTTAGGATTAGCATTTATAGGGAGAATAATTACCCCTATTTCTTAGTGTAATTTATATTCTATAAATACTCATGTACTATGTTACAGAATAAAAAGAAATAGAAAAAGCATATTTCTATATGGTATCAGTAGCAACAAGAATCCTTTAGGGTTTTTTTTTGTTTTTGCTTCCGCTCTGTTTATCTTTTTTACATCCCACAATGTCTGATACCGAGTCCTCACTTTCACCCAAACATTCCTCACCCGAACCTAAATTAGTCCGAACGTACCATGAAAACCACCCTGTTCAGATCACAACAATTCGGCTGAACGGTGCTAATTATCTTCGATGGTCGCAATCCGTTCGTATGTATCTCAGGGGGAGAGGAAAGATTGGCTACATTACTGGCGACAAAAAACAACCAGACAAGGCAGGTGCAGATTATGATACATGGGATGCTGAAAACTCCATGGTCATAACATGGTGTGCAAGCTTGCTATGAACGATATATTCATGCCAGCTTGAGGGGGAGTGTTGAATATTAGCACAAAATCAAAACAGATTCTGTCATACAGCTCATTATGGCTGGATTCAAATTGTGATTAAATAGAAATTAATTGTATTATTATATTCTTACCTTATTTAGGATTAGCATTTATAGGGAGAATAATTACCCCTATTTCTTAGTGTAATTTATATTCTATAAATACTCATGTACTATGTTACAGAATAAAAAGAAATAGAAAAAGCATATTTCTATACACCTAAAATCTGTGTTAGGGCTCCCTGCTTCCTAGCCCTTGGAGCCTATCTCAGGGTGCTTTGCTTCCCATAACTCTACACCATGTTGGTGTGTTATATTCTTTTTGCATATCTTTATTTGCCTATACTATACCCTACCATTTAAGATTGCTTTCTTTTAATCCAAATTTGAATTGATATTAGCTTAAATTTGATTTTATTTAAGTTTGAACTATAATTGTTTAGATTTGATTTATTACTATAACTCTATATTATGATTTGTTTTAGGATAAGCTCCTACTTGATTCATTTCAAATTTGAAAACAATATCTGCTGTGATTCAAATCTTATATTTGCTTAATAGAATTACTTTTGTCCAGGGGTTGAAGTTTCTGTAAATTATAATCTTCGTGTGATACAATCGTTGAGTTTCTTTTTGGTTGTTTTTCTTTTACAATTCTACTTAAGCAGCTCCCTTAAAGTAAAAATAATATTTCTATGCTGGTAAGTATTTAGAAAAATGAAATGCAATTCCAATAGGTAACAAATTTCCTACCAGGCTATCTAGTTGCCATGCAGGGAACCGAGCACTCAGGTTCTGTCACAAGCATATAGCTTTTCCTAACAGTATTATACTATTATGTAAACTTCATTTTTAAGTCTCAGTATTTTGATAGTTTGCATTTTAGATGTGATCCATAATTTCAAAAAAATGTAAAGAAAGGTAATGACTAACACTCTAAAATGATTATTTCTGCTAAAGTTTGTCCTAAATTTTGAAGCAGACATCAGTTCTTGATATTACATATTAAATGAAAACAGGGAAAATAAAAGATTGTCCTAAATTTTTATAAGCCAGTACTATGCTTACGGTCAATTTAAAAAGACGGAGAAAGTCATAAGAACTGTGAAGAATATATCAGCACATACTATCTTGCACTGAAAACTGGATCTTGATTAGGTGACGGTTGTGTCTTTCGAGTGTATTTGAGTAGTAAACCTTCAGCAGAAAGACCTGGTACATTCAGGTCCCTGAAACATTGAAAAAGAGAAAATTATGTAAACTATATGTATATCAATATAATAAAATGATGATGCATTTTAATGTACCAATGTTACATGACATCTTAACCTGATATAGGGCTGCAGATCCTTCCAATCCCATTTTGCACGCTCTCTGAAAAGAATGGAGAAACGTTCAGCTGGAGTGGAAGGCAAAGAAGAGACACGGAAGGCACGAACCCATGTCTCAACTCCAAGTTTCTCAGTCAATACCTCTCCTTCCATAAGATCAAAAGATGGCTGCATTTCATCTGGAGTCTTCTTCCTCCATTCTTCCATAAAACTCTCTAACTTCCTCTTACCTCCTTTCAGAATTTCTCTTGCAAAGTGTATGCATACTCGCTTCTCATCCAACTTCCACACACAGCTTTCCATGCAATCATTTTCTTTTACTTGCTTGGCATATATGTGCAAGCAATGCCTTGCAAGAACCACAGGAAAACCATCAGATTCCAGCATATTCACAACTTCATCTTCATTTAGAACATTGAGTGACCAGTCATTCAACACTGAATTTTTCAAAAGCACTCCCAGAATCATGTCCATGTAACTCTCATCAACTAATCTCCAATACCCATTAATCTCCACAGCAGAAAGAGCTTGCAGTCCAAACCTTAATTCCTCGTCACTAGCTTGAATATTGTCTATAAGATCATTCCAGTTATATAATCCCACTCTTGATTCCTGATTCTCTTCTAAAATTTCCATGTCATTTTCATCAAATCTGTAAGTGTTCTCTGAAAGAAGCAATTTGAGTTTATCAAGTTTGGGGGAAACCTCAATAAGCTCCAAACTACCAGGTACGACTTTTAATATATGTGCAACAACTTTCTCGTCAGTATTGTTAATATCATCCTTCTGCTGATTTTCATACAATTCTGATTGATTTTCTGGCGGTACAAGCAAAACAGAATTGGAAGTTCCAACAAATTTCATAGCATATGTTTTTGATTGAGTACAAAGAACCGCATCTTCATCAGGCTGTCCTCTTAATACCATCCTAAATTAGAGAAAAATTATGCAACACAAGTAGGGAAAGAAAAAGGAATTAGAATTAATATGTATATATTGTAACCACGTGTTGATTCTAAGTAACTACTGTACTTAGGATAACAATAGATCCTTATATTATGACTCTTTGTATGTAACTCACACACAAGGACCCCGTGACATGTCTCTCATCTCTCTTCTCAACATGCAGATATGATCCAAGTTAGGGTCAAATTGCTTTTATGATCTTCCATGAGATGTTTTCTTGTTTTTTTAGTGAAGTTCATGAAGAGCAACGAACATAAGTGCATAAGTAATAAGAAACGATGAAGAAAGAACACATAAATAATAAGAAACGATGAAGAAAGAACAGTGTGAAATGTGAAACGCGGAAAATAGATTAGAAGATGGTGAAAAAGTTGCAAACTTATGATCAAAAGAAAGTAATCACAAACATGGAAAAGAAGAGATTCAGAATGGCACCAAACGCAAAGGGAGTGATATGCCAAATGAAGAATCACCACAAACTTAAAGGGATAAGAATCAACTATGGTTCATAACTAAGAACCAAAAAGATGCAAAATGTTCTCTACCTTACTCCAAGAGTAATTATTCTAACTAGTGAGGTCAGACATTCAATCCTTCCCCTATTGTGGTGTATATTAAAATGGTATTGTTAATCCCAGATGACAAAAAAATAGTTATTTGTTCAAATTCCGTTGCAATAGAGTGTTGTCGTGCCACTATTTAACAACATTTTATATTAAACAGCATGTCGCATAACAATACCAAATTGTTCAAATTCCACTACGTTATAGTACTATAGCTACTATTTGACAACACTGCATCAAAAGGCTACAACAAGCTCATCTCATTGTCAAGGAAAAATGCTTGGGTTCCGAGGAATCAGAAGCAATAAGTTATTAGGGCGCCGGAGGTCGCAATAAATCTGTAACATTCATCATTTTGTTTCCCTTTCAAAAAGAGTTAAGAATAACACGATGCCGATCAATACATACCTTTCATTCAAAACATCTGGGATCAGTTTCTCATCCAGCTCTAGAACAATGAGATCATCATGAGGTCCAAAATTGGGGTGATATGCAATAGAAATCGACGATCCAGGAGGCATATTTTTCAGTGTCTCTGCTCCTCCTGAAATCTTCTGTGGTGGTTCCATTTCACCCTTTCACTAAACAAAAAAGCATTAATAAAAAAAAATTAAGATCTCTTCATAAACTATGCATAATTCTATAAACCAGTGAAAATAAATAACAAAAGTTTGCATATACATCGCCTTATAAATATTCGGTTCTTTCACTACTAATCTACTACATGCTTCTATTCAGTTGTCATTAAAAAAAAAAAATACAGAACAATTACTAAATAGCTTTTATCTAAGATTCAACAAAAGCTATGCTACCAATTGCGCAGCTAAAGCGCACAATTGCGGAATCGTTTTGCGGAGTTTAGATCTGCTATGATGCCATTCGCAGGGGCGGATATCGTGGCCGCGATATCCGCTTGCTAATGGGAAAGGAAAATCGAAGTAAAGGGAGTACCTGGACTTTGTAACGGTTTCCGGCGGCCTTCTTTCTTACAATGGCAAAGTCCGGCTGTGTTTTCCGGCGAGGGTTTGGTTTTCGAGGGTGGTGGATGACTTCGAATTGAAGTTGTTTTGTTTGTGATAGACAAGGGCAAAATGGCGCGGTTGCGTTTTGTGCTTTTGGAGGGAGTTGCTGAATTTTATTGTTTTAGATTTTTATTTTTTTTTTGTCCAAGTGTTTTAGGTTTTTATTAATTATAAAGATTAATTACTCCCACGATTCCTTTTTACTTGTGATATTTGTAAAAATATTTTTTTCTATTTATTTAATATTTTTAAAATTCAATTGATTATTATTTTGTTGATATTTATGAAAGAAACAAAATAGAAAAAAATTGATACTTCTAAAAAAAATAGAAGAAAAAAAATAGATAATAGCACATTAAGAAGGGTAATCTATAACATAGATTAAGAGAAAATTTAGATTTGGTGTAGCCTATTTTTATTCCAATTATATATTTTTGTTTTTTATTTTAAAATTTAACTTCTTTTTTAATAATTTCTTTTTTATTAACCGGTATACGATAGTTTGCACAACTATTTCATTCAATTTTTTTTATATATATATAACTTAAATTAAAAAAAATAAACACACAAAAAATACGTTTAAATTTTTAAATGTATGAACATTAAAAAAACAGATAGACAGGCACGAGAGTGTCCGTCTGAACACTAGTATAGAAAGAAAGAAAAAGATAAATAATTGTATATCAAAAATAGCGGTGTTATTCTTAAAAGAAAAATAACAATATTTATTAGTTGTTTTAGTAGACAAAAATACTTAAAAGTGAATAATGAAGGATAGAAGTGAAAGTTAAAAAATGTATAATTATTTTTTTTCAATATTATTGATGTGAGATGTTGGATCGAACTCTAGTATAGTCGAAGTCTATTCGCAAGTAATGCGTGTTGTAGTCGAAGTTTGTTCTAACATGCATTAGTCAATATTGCTAGGTTTGTTAGCATGTTGAATTAGGTCTTTCTTGTAAGCTCAATTGTTTAAGTTAGCTTGTACCCTAAGTTGGCTTGTAATGGGTAATTGTTAAAAAGCCATTAGGTTAGTGTGTTATTTTTCTTATAAATAGGATTCTAGTTTCTCAATCTTGGAATAAGGAAAAATAGGAAGATAAAATCCTAATTTCAAGGGAGAGAGGTTATTTTGTTATTCTTGTATACTTGTAATCTTGTTCTAAGAGAAAGGAAAGAATAGCAGTTTAATAACCAATCCTTGTTATTCCTTGTTGTTTTACCTTGTTTTCTTTGTTAACCCTAACCCTTGTGTGTTTCTTGATCATTAAGAAACTGTTTATACTTTGTTTAAAGGTATCTGATTCACAACAAATTGGTGCGGTGAGCGTGGAAAAGATGCCTTCAACAAAGTATGAGATTGAAAAGTTCACCAGAGTGAACGACTTCGGTCTGTGGCGCTTGAAGATGAAATCCCTATTGGTTCAGCAGGGTTGTTTGGAAGCATTGAAGGGTGAGGCAGCCATGGACGCTGCGTTAACGGCAAAAGAAAAGACGGACATGATCGATAAAGCCCACAGCGCAATATTGTTGAGCCTTGGTGATAAGGTTCTTCGACAGGTATCAAAGGAGACTACAGCATCGGGATTATGGGTGAAACTTGAAAGTTTGTACATGACCAAATCTCTGGTGAATCGACTATACCTGAAGCAAGCTTTATATTCATTCAAGATGAGTGAAGATAAAGTGTTGGCTGAGCAGTTGGATATGTTCAACAAGCTGATTCTTGATCTTGAAAATATTGATATGAAGATCGATGATGAAGATCAAGCACTGTTGTTGCTGTGTGCTTTGCCCAGAACACATGCTCACTTCAAAGAAACTCTCTTGTATGGAAGGGAGTCCCTGACCTTTGAAGAAGTTCAATCAGCCTTGCATTCTAAGGACTTGAACGAACGAAAGGAGCATAAACCTTCGACGGTGGGCGAAGGTTTGGCCGTTAAGGGAAAATTCTTGCGAAAGGATGGTAAGTTCGACAAGAAGAAAGGTAAAAGTCAACAGAAGTCTTATAGTGGCGAAACATCTAGTATTCGATGTTATCACTGTAAGAAGGAGGGTCACATAAGAAAGGTGTGCCCTGAACGCCTGAAAGATCATGGAGGTAATGGCAATGCAGCCATTGTTCAAGATGACTTCGACTCATCTGATGTTCTTGTGGTTTCAAGTGGCGACTCAAGGAAATAGTGGATTATGGATTCAGGTTGCACTTGGCACATGACTCCAAACAGAGAATTGTTCGAGGAGCTATATGATTAAGATGGTGGATTTGTGCTGCTAGGAAACAACAAATCTTGCAAAATTGCAGGTATTGGATCTGTGAGATTCAAGCTCCATGATGAGTCAATAAGGTTATTGACTGAAGTCAGGTACGTACCTGACTTAAAGAGAAATTTGATTTCTCTTGGTGAATTCGACAGAAAAGGATATGTTTTTCAAGGAGAGAAAAGTATCCTAAGAGTCATGAAGGGGTCGAAGGAAGTCTTGAGAGACGTGAAGAAACAAGGCTTGTATACCCTTGAGGCTGAGGTTGTAAGTGGTTCGACAAATGTTGCATCCACGAAATCTATGTCGAAGACAGAATTATGGCACATGAGATTGGGCCATGTCAGTGAAAGAGGCCTGGTCGAATTGGGGAAGCAGAACCTGCTAGGAGGTGACAAAGTCGAAAAGTTGGAATTTTGTGAATCTTGTGTATTTGGTAAATCCTGTAGGGCGAAGTTTAACAAAGGCAAGCAAAGAACACATGGATCCCTGGATTACATTCATGCTGATCTTTGGGGGCCTGCAAGGAATCCTTCACACTCAGGTGCAAGGTATTTTCTATCCATCGTTGATGACTATTCCAGAAAGCTATGGGTATTCATTCAGAAGACGAAGGATGAAACTTTTGAGAATTTCAAAAGTTGGAAGATTCTAGTCGAAACTCAGACTGGCAGAAAGGTTAAGAGGTTGAGAACCGACAATGGCCTTGAATTCTGCAACGAAGCTTTCGACAGTTACTGTGTTGGGTCTGGGATTGCAAGGCATAAAACTGTAGCAGGTACTCCTCAACAAAATGGCTTAGCTGAGAGATTCAATCGAACAATCCTTGAAAGGGTTAGATGCATGTTGGTTAGTGTTGGATTGAAGAAGGTGTTTTGGGCGGAAGCTGTTTCGACAGCAGCTTACCTGATAAATAGATGTCCCTCAACTGCCTTGGGAATGAAGACACCTGAAGAAGTTTGGTTGGGACATCCACCTAGTCTCGACAGACTGAGAGTATTTGGTTGTGTGGCCTATGCTCATATTAGGCAAGACAAGGTCGAACCTAGAGCTCTGAAGTGCATGTTCATGGGATACCCTGAAGGAGTCAAAGCTTATAGGTTATGGTTCCTAGAGCCAGGTCACAGAAGGTGTATCACCAGTCGAGGTGTAGTTTTCAATGAAGCAGAGATGACTTTCAAGAAAACTGATGATGCTGACGAAGAGTTGGAACAGGGAGAGATTCCTGTTAAGGTGGAGCATGTTGATGCCGAATTGCTTACCCCAGATGAAGTCGAAGAAGACGCAGAAGATGCTGTCGAAGATGAGGAGAGTGATAATGACTACCTTCTAGCAAGAGACAGGTCGAGAAGAGTCATCAAGCCATCTCAGAGACTTGGTGTTGCACCCTAAAATTTGCTCAACCTTTTCCTTAACTTGGTTTATGTTTCATTTCATTTTCTTTCTAGCATTTGCATTGTATAGCATGTTGCATTGAATAGGGGATCAAAAGGATGTGCATAGCAAGAGGAGTCTTCTCAGAGTATGAAGCCTAAGCAGGGGTTGTTACTCAAGCTTGAGTGGTCATCAGGACATCTTGAAGTGGTCAGCGTATTGTGAAAGGACAGATGGATGTGTGTGGGTTAGCCCCTAACTGGGAGGCCAACTGAAGAACATCAGAGGTTCGTGAATGCATGATTTTGGGTGAAAGGTAAGGAAAGCTTATTGAGGTCCTTGAGGGTCATTGTGGAGCTTATGCAAGTGGTTGTGTGAAGTGGAACAAGCCACAGTTGAAAGTATCGCAGTTAGGGTTTCCATCTGGTAAATCCTCAGTCAACTGTGCAATTGAAGAAGATAGAAACTCAATTCAAAGTCTCTATGGTCGTGGGATGTTGTGTTAATACATATGAGACACCATTTCAAGATCATTTCATCAAGGGTTAAGTGTTTGAGAAGTTACTAAGTTAGGGTTCTCAGGGTAAAATTCCCTATTTAGTGCCTGACTTCAAGACCACTTACCTCAAGATAAATATCTCATCTCAATTTTTGGCCAACATGGAACTTGTAGAGCATGTTATTAGCTTTAATTTGAGTACTAGAAGTCCTCGGTTGGATTTATAGAACTCAAGTTATAGTACGGACAAGTTACGGGTCATTTGAGGTATGTGATTTTGGTCAACAAAAGTAAACCAACTTCCAAGCCAGTTTTGACCTAGAAGGGTGTTTCTCCTCAACTTTTGGTCAACATGAAAGTTGTAGGTCTTGATCTTAGCTTACAAGATTGTATTATAAGTCTTTCATCTGAT